GGGCGGGGGGGGGGTGTCCCTGCCAGTGGCTTGCTGGCTCATGTTTTGGGGCCACTGGATCAGGGGCCCCGGTGGCCACTGCTGGTTCTGGGCTGGCAGGCTTGGAGCTGGCACAGGCACTATGGCCAGGGTCTACCCTATGGCCTACCTATGGCCAGGCTCTGGGGCTGGGGGAGCAGAGAGTAAGTTTTCCTGGCTGTGCCCAGAGTGGGCAACAGGGGCCCCTCGGCTTGCTGGCTCATGTTTTGGGGCCACTGGATCAGGGGCCCCGGTGGCCACTGCTGGTTCTGGGCTGGCAGGCTTGGAGCTGGCACAGGCACTATGGCCAGGGTCTACCCTATGGCCTACCTATGGCCAGGCTCTGGGGCTGGGGGAGCAGAGAGTAAGTTTTCCTGGCTGTGCCCAGAGTGGGCAACAGGGGCCCCTCGGAAGGGCTGGAGGCCCCCTATTTCGAATTAAGTGTCTACACAGCACTTAATTCGAAATAGCAATGTCAAATTTGGTGTTACTCCTCGTAGAATGAGGTTTACCAAATTCAAATTAAGGGCTCCACTATTTTGAATTAAATTCGAAAAAATTAATTCGAAATAACGGCTGGTATTTTGAATTAACTTTGCAGTGTAGACATACCCATAGTTATTAGCCATATCAGCCTATAAACTGCTGTGGGGTCTTGTTTTATTTTATATCTTCTTTTATATTTAATCCTTCCCTCGTGGGAGGTAGGATTCTGTTATGGGCTAGCACCATAGCTACCTATGGTGTTAAGTTATACAAATGATACATAACAATACATCTTTTTGTTGCTTTGTTTATTTTACATTCAGTATGAAAAGACTATATGGGTATGTCTACACTACCCCGCTAGTGCGAACTAGCGGGGTAATGTATGCATACCGAACGTGCAAATGAAGCCCAGGATTTGAATTTCCCGGGCTTTATTTGCATAAGCCGGCCGGTGCCATTTTTAAATGCCGGCTTGTTCGAACCCCGTGCCGCGCGGCTACACGCGGCACGGGCTAGATAGTTCGGAATGGCTTGCTAGTCCGAACTATCTGTACGCCTCGTGGATATTAAAGATATTAAATCTTAAAATATCCCTAAATATTAAAAATCCAAAACTTGGATTTGCATCCTATGCATTTGAACTGGAACTCTTCGGCTTTGCCTATCCAGCTGTATTTTCCCTTGGTTTTAGGGCAAATATGAAGCAGCTAGGTATCTGAGGCCAGACTGTAATCTGCATTGCCACTGGGGGTTATGTCCAAGACATTTCCCTGGTCCTCTTTTGTGATTAACTTGAATAACAGGCACAATAATTGTCCCTAGCAGCCGGGATTACTTACTGCCTCCACATTGCAATAAATACATTCGCCTTAAAGGGATCAGGAGAAACCACACACATGTTTCTCGCCACACCACTCAGTGGGACCTTGTAGATGAGGGGTGGGCAGTAAAATAGTGGTGGCCCACCACTGCTATGTTTAACTGTGCCTCCACAAGTAATGGGCTGATCACAGCTCCCACTGGCCATGGATCACCATTTGTGGCCAATGGGAGTGGCGAGAGGCAGTACGGACTGGGACACTGCCTCCCACTGCTCACAGTGACCATGGCCAACGAGAGTTGCAACTGCCTGATATGTGTGGAGGCACAGATAAACGTAGAGGTGGGGATCCACTAGGGACTAACCTTGGTGGACCAGATGCGGGCTCTTGGCCAGTATTTGCCTACCCCTGTTATAGATAACGATGTGTAAATCCCTATGGGTATGTCTACACTACCACCCTAGTTCGAACTAGGATGGTTAATGTAGGCAACTGAAGTTGCAAATGAAGCCCGGGATCTGCATTTCCCGGGCTTCATTTGCATCTTGCCGGGCCCCGCCATTTTTAAAGCCCCGGTAGTTTGGACTCCGTACCCTCGGCTACACGCGGCACAAAGTAGGTAGTTCGGATTAGGCTTCCTATTCCGAACTACCGGTTCACCTCGTTCCATGAGGAGTAACGGTAGTTTGGAATAGGAAGCCTAATCCAAACTACCTACTCCGTGCTGCGTGTAGCGGTGGGCACGGAGTCCGAACTAGCGTGGCTTTAAAAATGGCGGCGCCCGGCAAGATGCAAATGAAGCCCGGGAAATTCAAATCCTGGGCTTCATTTGCAACTTCGGTTGCCTACATTAACCACCCTAGTTCGAACTAGGGTGGTAGTGTAGACATACCCTATGCAGAGTAGGCAGTTTTGAGAGAGATACAATTTGTGTTAGTACTTCCCCTGGGGGGAGCAGCTCCACATTGCCTCGAATGAGTTGTGCAAACTGCACAGCTTAGCCCACTCTTTCTAAATTACATTATATTTATATTACATACTGTGCTTATGCTGAACGATTTTAATATGCTTTGGTTTTCAGAAGTAATTTCACACTGTGTATTCACTTAAACAACAAGATTCGTGAAGTCACTGGCAAAACTCTCCATTGATTCTTGGAGAACAGGACAGGTCCTTAATCACAGATATTTAGCTGCTTACAGATTTAAAATATGTAAATGTAATCTACTATCTGTGTCTTAACAGACAACTGGGCATTTTACCCAGGGAATGGGTAGAGAAGAATTAGATTCTGGACCTGGACATAGAACACTCAAAGAATCAACAAAGGTGTGTGGTTCTTTACATTTTGTTTTTAGGGCTTTGGTAGAAGTAAGGCAGCAAATTAGTAATTGAAATATACATTTTCTTTTGTCTATTCTCTTGCTTATAAATTAACATTTCTTGTACCATTTTTTGTCCAACAAATGTTCTAATTATTGTGCAGCTTGGATTCTCCAAGTGAAATCATGTCCTCATTGAAGCCAATGGCTAAACTTGTATTGAATTTAACAGGTCTAGGATTACCCTCATGTCTTTCTTTACTAAACATTGTGGTACATATGTATCTGAAGTCCATTACTAAAATGACCAAACTTGGGATATTTAAGTCCATGTTTAGTTACCTAAATCAGTGATCTGAGCATTAGTGGCTACTACTGAAGCCAGCATCTCTGAAATCCAAGCTACTTATATAGGCAGCCTACTTCAATTAGTAAAGCAGCCCAATGTGTTTTGAATGGTCTATAAACAATCACATTCTCTCTAAATGCAAACATTCTTAAATTAAAATGAAATTGTGCCCAGTCTTGCTATTCACTATGGATACTTACACAAAAAGGAGGATTCCTGTGTTGGCTAATGCAAAGGCAAGGCCTAAAATTCCACTACCCATAATGGCGTTGCTGAGATTAAAGACAGACATTCGCAATGAGGTTGTTCCTGGAATCTGAACACAGGAAAAATGGATATATAAATAGTTTGGACTTCAATGTACAGTGCACATATACTGTGAATTCCAAGTTTTACATTATGGAAAATAAAATTACTACCACATCAATGAAACAGTAGCAATGAAAAATACAAAGCGAGATTTGAAAGAGAATAAATCCTAGCAAACCATTTCACATGGACATTCCAATTACTGCCTTGTGGACAAATGCACTCATAGAACAGAAATTCTATGGACAATATATATTATCTGAAATAGTTTCAGTGTTTTTTAAAACACCTTCCACTAACCATAGAAACTGATTTTTCAGAGGTGCCAAGAACATACAGCTCCCCTTGGCTCAAATGGAGTTGCAGGTGCGCAGCAAATATAAGGGTTGCATAGTTTACAATGGACAGTATATTGACAGAGAGACTTACATATTCATCACATTTCTTTTTTTCCAAGTGACTGTTGGTGAGACTTCTTCGGCTCTCCCGATCAGAAATAAACTTGCTGAAAAGAAGTCAGAGAATACATTTTCTACCATGAAGACTTATTGAATATGAATATGCATTTTAATGCTATAACACAATATGATTTGATACTTGCAAAAGGGGGTCAAACTTAGCTATTTAAAGGGCTATAATGAGCCTGATTATGCTTCATTTACACTTGTGTAAATCAGTCCCTGGAGTTACACTAGTGTGAGAACAGAATCAGACCTAACAAATATAGAAAGCTATTCCTGGATCTTTAGTACAAGAGAAATACAGCTTCTGTAGACAGATGGTAATTAATTTGCATACATATTAAGAGAACATATTAGTCTAGGTCCTGTGGAGTGGTGTGTCTGGTAGATCTTAGCCATCAGGACAATAAACTCAGCCATAGGAGGCTCATCCTACTGTATGTGATCTTTTAGTGTTGTAAAGCTATGAATATGTATAGCTATGAATGGGACACAATCAGCCCTCTGAATTAGCTTCATTAACATGAGTCCTATAATTGCCAGATACTTCTTTTGCTATTACATGCATCTTGGACGCTGCTATTTCAACTCCAAACTCATCTGATAAGTGAGTCTTACCTACGAAAACGCATGATATTATATATTTTTGTTAGTCTCTAAGGTGCCACAAGACTACTCATTTTTGAAGTTACAGACTAACAGGGTATCACTCTGAGACACTCTCTAGGTTTAGTGATATAGCCTTCCAGAAAAGGGATGCTAATGTAGCACGTTGGAATAGGCAAATCCGCGGGGGATTTAAATATCCCCCGCGGCATTTGCATTAACATGGCTGCCGCTTTTTTCCGGCTTTGGGAAAAGCCGGAGAAAAGCGCCAGTCTAGACGTTATTCTCCAGAAAATAAAGCCTTTTTCCTTGAAAGTAGGAATAAGAAATCCTCCGGAAAAGGCTTTATTTTCCGGAGAATAACGTCTAGACTGGCGCTTTTCTCCCGCATTTAAATCTCCCGCGGATTTGCCTATTCCAAAGTCTACATTAGCATCCCTTTTCCGGAAAGGGGTGCCAATGTAGACACAGCCCCCATGTTTTGCTTTGTTATCACAATGTGCACACTAGAAATCTTTTGTTACCAGGAAAACAAAAGCACACTGCTATTTTTAAAAACATTTGTCTGTGCCTTGCCTTTGTGCTTTACCATCCTCAGCTTACATTTCTTGCATTTATTTCCCCCCCACTTCTTTCTCTGCTAAGATCCTTGTGGTACCTTTGCCCTGGGTGTTTAGTTTTTGCAGGATCCCCAGTCTTCTTGTTACTTACACATGGACCTCTGGGGTGGCTTAGGCACAGGGACTTTGGGCTCAGTGGCTGGCGGAGTTAGTGGAGGGGTGGGGAGCTCTAGCGGTTTGCGTATTTGCATATTTGTTATTTGCATAATGAATATGCAACCATGCAAATAAAATGTTACCAGTCTGCCGAAAGTTTGTGAATGGGGTTGCTGGACCCCAGTATAAAAAAGGTTGGGAATCACTGCTTTAATACACCAAAAGGTATTGTGGGCTATCTATAAGGCTTTATCTTTTGAGATAATTTACGGAGGTTTTTTTTTTAAACGTTTTTTGAGTTATATGTAGATATTAAAAATCCAGGGGTTTTTTGAACTCTCACTTTGATACTGTAATGAAAAGCTTCTTCAAGTGCCTCCCTAAAGATCTATTATTTCATTTTTACTATATATAAAAAGTGACACACATGTTAGATTAACATGACATGGATTTGTCAAGAACAAACTGTGTCAAACCAACCTGACAGGTTTTTTTTTGGCAGGATAACATGCCTAGTGGATAGGGAAGAAGCCGTGGATGTGGTGTATCTAGACTTTAGTAAAGCTTTTGATACAGTATTGCATGACCTGGTTTGTTAACAAATTAGGAAAATATGACCTAAATGTAGCTGCTATAAAGTGTCACGTAATTGGTTGGATAGTCATTCCCAGAAAGTATTTATCAATGGTTCATAGTCTTGATGGAAGAGCATACCAGATGGGGATCTGCAGGGGTCAGTTCTGAGTCTAAGTCTATTCAATATCTTCATCAGTGATTTATATAATGGCATAGAAATTACACTTACAAAGTTTGCAAATGATACTAAAATGGAAGAGTTGAATTATAATTCCAAATAATCTGGAGAAATAATCTGAGGTAAGTAGGATGAAGTTTAATAAGAACAAATGCAAAATACTCTACTTGGGAGGGAAAAATCAGTTGCTCACATACAGTCTAGGAAAGAGTACTGCAGAAAGGGGTCACATCAAGCTAAATATGAGTCAATAATATGACTCTGTTGCAAAAAAAGCAAACAACATTCTGGAACATATTAGCAGGAGTGTTATAAGTAAGACACGAGAAGTAATTCTTCTCATCTACTTAGTGCTGATTAGTCCTCAACAGGAGTACTGTATCCAGTTCTGGGTGCCACATTATAGGAAAGATGTGGACAAACTGGAAAAGTCCAGAGAAGAGCAACAAAAATGATAAAAGGCCTAGAAAACATGACCTGTGGAAAGCCGGAAAGAATTGAGTTTGTTTAGTTTGGAAAAGAGACGACTGAGAGGGGACATAACAGCTTTCAGGTACCTAAAGGAATGTTACAAGGACAAAGGAGAAAAATTATTCTCCTTAACCTTCGATAAGAGGACAAGAAGCAATGAGCTTAAATTGCAAAAAGAGAGATTTAGGTTGACTATTAGGAAAAACTTCCTAACTGTCAGAGCGGTAAGCACTGGAATAAATTGCCTAGGGAGATTATGGAATCTCCAGCATTGGAGATTTGTAAGAACAGGTTAGACAAACATCTGTCAGGGATGAACTAGAGTGAAGGGGACTTGACTTGATGACTTCTCGAGGTTCCTTCTATTTCTATGATTAAGCTTTGCATTCTAGTTACTGAACACCTTGTTTAGTATTTAGTGTGTTTATTCCTGGTGCACTTTAAAATAGTACTGTTTCAAGCAGCACTAGATTAGAGCACAGTAGAAAACCTTTATTGTGCACCAGCAAAGTCTTCCAACCTAGTTAATGTGTGTTTTAAAAATCATGCCCCATAGTTTGCAATACTGCTCCATGCAGAGAGGCTCTTAAATACAAGCCAGGGAGCAGCAACATTGCCTATATCAGGGGTGAGGAACCTAAGGCCTGGGGGCTGGATGTGACCCCTGGCTTGCCTGGATCCGGCCCCCAAGGCTCAGGGCTCCCCCCCCTCCCGGGGAGGATTTAAATCCTGGGCTTGATTTGCAACTTCGAATGCCTACATTAGCATCCCTAGTTTGAACTAGTGGGCTAGTGTAGACATACCCTTACAGTCCATTTATCCAATCCATATTGCATTAACTTGCTGGCAAGAATATTATGGGTGACCGTATCAAAACCTTTGCTAAAGCTGGCACTGCGGGCTTTGGGAGGACCAGAAATAACGTATTTGTATAGTCATCATTTGCTTAATGAATATGTAAATATGCAAATGAATGTTACAGGTCCTCCAAAGGCTCGTGAATGGATTTACTGGTCCCCGTGTCAAAAAGTTTGGGAACCTCTGGTCTATAGCATTAACTTATAAGCTTTTGCTTATCAGTTAATCGACTACACTACACTATTACATTCCTAGTATTGGGCAGGGAGCAGTTAATCAGTGTTATCTGTTAAAATCTTAAATCAGAAGCCTTACCTATAGTACCTCTGCACCTTTGAATGTAAAGTTCTACTAAACTTCTCACTACCCTGGGCTGTGACCTTATTATTGGCAATATATGCTGAGAATGTGGCGTTGTTTTACCTATAGGCCATATTCAGATGTCTGTATCTCCGCTGATTTCAGTGGTGTTAAATATATTTAGTCAACTAACTCTTCAGCTCTGTGCTCTGTCTGCGGCTTCTGAAGGATAACAACCTCTTATGGAAAATATATTGAAAAGTCTTAGTCATCATCTCTCGTATATAACTCCCTTATAAATTTACCACTTAAACCCAGACAAACAGGCACACATATTGCTGTTAAAATGTACTTAAAGCCATGCTATTTTTACAGATTTGACTCACATCTATCAGATTGGTCTGATTTTGCTTATCTACATTTGAGTCAACTATTTCATTTCATATACACTTTAGAAATTATTCATTTTCAGAAAGTTACAGCAAGTGAACTCAAGTTGCAGTGTCAATGCCAAGAGTCCTGAATCTGTTTAGGTTAGACAATAATGTTCTTCCAGTTACATATGAGATGCAAATAAGTCACCCTCTTTGAGGGAAAACTCATACTTTATTGCTCACTATGAATTAAAAAAACTATACAGATTTTTTTAATTCATATAAAACAGAATTTGTCTTCTAGTGAATTGGAACCGATATACTTTTGATATATTTTTTTAGCCAAACTCTCAATGTAGACTGTTGAGTGGGAAAAGTTTACAGAACAGTCAGGATTTCTCACGGAAAAACTCTGCTTGTGGAGTAATAAGAAGCACAGAGAGGAGTTTTGTTTCTTCTGGACTTTAAAGTCTTGTTTGGAATGTCTGAGGATTTTGATTGATTCTGCCTTTTCCCAGACTTTAAATAAAAAATATTTTCTGTAATATTATATTTTTCCTCCCCTCTGCTTATCCCTAGCCATTTAGGCCCTTTTTAGAAATTAAAATCCTGTAGATTCTGAGATTATCAACATACTTTATATTAAGGCTCCATTAAAAATGTTTATAAAGGTATAAGTGAGTAATAAATATTTTAAGATTGTTACAGAGCTGAGTAGTATACATTACAGAATGTTATAGACACACAAGGGCTACGTCTACACTGGCCCCTTTTCCGGAAGGGGCATGTTAATTTCAGCGATCGCAATAGGGAAATCCGCGGGGGATTTAAATATCCCCCGCGGCATTTAAATAAAAATGTCCGCCGCTCTTTTCCGGCTTTTAGAAAAGCCGGAAAAGAGCGTCTACACTGGCCCCGATCCTCCGGAAAAAGTGCCCTTATTCCTTCAAAGTAGGAATAAGATC